TTCAAGGTTTCTTATCTCTTCACTCCTGCCTACAGCTGCGTAATGCTTCTTAAGTATGTGGCTTCTTACTTTCTATGCAAGGAACAGCCTGTCTGTTCCTCGTCTTCAAGCTTCCTGCTGTCCTTTCAGGCTTAGGCTCATCTTAATCTGACTTTGATTTGGATTGACTTAAAAACCTTAAAATTTATGCCGTAAGTGATTTGGGATCTCAACTTCTTCTCCCGGCCCTTTCCGCAACCACATCATTCTTCACTACGACAGGTCTTCCCATCTTCTGCTTTGTTCTCCAAAGTGCCTCATAAATAGTTTACTAGATATAATAACAGAAGTAAATACATTTAAACAAAGAATACCTTTGAGGTGTACTGGAAGATGTCAGCAATAATCCGCATGGATGGTTCTGGGGGGAAAATGTACGTATTTCGGACCATGAACTCCTTCAAGATGTCATTTTGGATTGTCCCTGTCAGCTTGGCCTGAGGCACTCCCTGTTCTTCTCCAGTTACAATGAATGTTGCCAACACGGGAATGACTGCCCCGTTCATTGTCATAGAAACTGACATTTTCTCTAAAGGAATTCCATCAAAAAGGATTTTGGTGTCTTCCACTGTATCAATGGCAACTCCAGCCATTCCAACGTCTCCTCGAACTCGTGGATTGTCTGAATCATAACCACGATGGGTGGCTAAATCAAAAGCAACAGATAATCCCTGCTGGCCAGCTAAATGAAAAAGGAAAAAAACAAAAACAAACAAACAAAAAAAAAACAAAGAGAGAGATTCAGAAGTGTTAAACAGGTTTGCATTAGGACTGGATCTAAATTTATTAATTTTATTTTACATCATCCAGTCATCCAGGCTTGGACGACAAACCAATTTTTGATGTTAAACACTGTTCGCTCCCCAAACGTGTCCAAGGTCTTCTCGTCTTAAACTTTAAATGAAAAAGCTTTTAATTGAGAAAAAAATATCATAGTTCTAGTTCAGCCACACAATCACCTTACCATGCTTAACGAATTACTGCGTAACAGTTTGGCCACAAGTTACAAATGTGCATAGACAGACAGTATCAGGGCTTACATACAGAAACTCTACTTAGCTTAGCTGGAAAGAAAAGTGTGATAAACTACGTCACATTACCTTCTCTTTATCACAGATCAAACACACACGCATTGCTTGTTATCCTGGCTCTACTGACATATGCTATTTATTCCTAACGTGAAACGATGCATTACTAAATCTGCAGTAAGAGAAAATTACTCATAAAAGCAGGGAACAGGACAGGTAGAGCTTCTTGCCAGACTTGCTGCTCCGACCTGAAAGCAGCACCCGAAACTCTGCTCACCGCAGGCATTCACCCTCTGACCCGCACTGCTGTTCCTGAAGGAACTGTATCTACTGCGTTTGCAAGTCTGCTTCTCAACATCAGCAGAGCTCTTAATTGTCAGATACCAGCTATTGTCTTTGATCTAAAAAGCTAGGTGATAGCTCAGAAGCACAATGACAAAAATTTAAATTTCTCCCTAGTTTGAAGCAATAGAAATTTCAGCAATTATGAGAACTAATAATTAACTCTTTTTCAGCATTCCTCTAATTACAGAGAGATTTTAATTGAATTATTTAAAATGCTTTACAAATAGGTCAGATTCAGAAGCTATGCTAAATAATTCAATATTCATACAATGATTAACACAACAACAGAGATAAACTTACAATATCACAATGTCAAAACTCGAATCAAGATGAAAAATTCCTGGCAGCAAATGTTCTTGAGTAATTGAGCTGTGCTACCAGCTAACCCAAGTGTTAGCCCTTCTGCTTCAGCAGCAACATCCAGCAGTAAGACAGATTATATTCAGAACAATCTTTCTATTGAAATGTTTGTTTGCAAATCTCTAATACCCTGTATTCATAGTTTCTTCATTTACTGAAAGTTTTATAAATGGAAAGAATCGAGAATACTTGCAAGAGTACCGCAGCAGCTAATACTGCTCCGTATTAGCTAACCATGATATGGCAAGCGGTAAAAATCCCCAAACAACTTCTTCTCCCCTGCCCTAAACAGTGATGTTTTGAGTAGGAAGGCCTGTAAAGCGGGAAATAAAAGCATCGCAGATGCATTACTCAGAAGGCAGATTTCAATGGTCTGTTGTTTTGACTTGGTAAGGTTATAATTAGCTTCAAACAATTGCTAAGATGTATGGCTGGTGTAAAACTAATGCTTCAGTCTATCAAGAACAACTTTTTAGTAGCGGTTTCACAACGCCTAACTCAATAGCGTACTATGATGACGCTCTGGCTATTAGCTAAACAAATTGCTGCAAAGCACAATACTCTGCAGAAATATTGGGAAAACAGCTCTCAAATAAGGAAATACCAATACTTTTAGGAAGCTGGTTTTACTAGTACACCATGAATGACACTATTCATATGTATTTTTATGAGTTCATTTAAAATTTACAACATGAGATGGAACCCCAAAATGTCAGAATGCACGAACACCAGAAGTGCTAAGTGACGAAGCTCAACAGATTTTTCCATTATAATCTCCTCTCATGGTCTCAAAATGAGTGTAAAGTGCTCCACGATCTCTGCTGGTTGGACCCTGGGATGTAGCCAAATTTTGTCTCTGTTGGTGTCAAGGCAGAATAACTAAAAATAGCATTTAACGCATTCATTTTTCCACCTCAGTAGCAAAATGAAGCAAGGGCAGTTTCAGAAATGATCCAATTTCCCAGTACTAAATACAGCGCCACTGGGAAAAGCCTATCAGAAATCAAAACTCCCAAGGCGGAATAATCACATTTGCCATGTAATTCACCATATGAATGTTCCCCATCGCTTTGCAAGGCAACGTTGTTTCCCAAATCAGCTGTCTTACCTTTAATGTTGTCCTTGTAGAACTTGTTGCTCTCCTCCACTGTACTGAAGCCAGCATATTGGCGGATAGTCCACGGCCTGTATGTGTACATGGTTGGGTAGGGTCCTCGAGTGAACGGTTTCACCCCTGGCAGCTCCTCAGGGAAGTCTTTCGTGTCCCTTTTGGAGTACAAGGGCTTGATGTCGATCCCCTCTGGAGTGTGCCAAATTAAATCCTTTGGATTCTTGCCCTTCAGCTGCTTTTCAGCAAGGGCAGCCCACTCGGGGTGCAGCGGCTGCCCGTGCAGCGAACGCCACGCGAGCCTGCAGGCTGGAAGCTGTGCCAGGCATGTGCAGCGGTGGGGCCGCAGGCGCAGGAGAGCATCCTTGGCTCTTAGCATGTCTGCCCCACTGGTCGGCGAGTATGGGGTAAGCTGAAGAAAATCAAACCACGTATTTTGCGTTATCATCTAAATCCAACACGGGAGAAGTCAAGCAGTTTGCTAAAGCCAAAACAATTACTCAGGAAAAAACTAAGTGTATTTATTGACTTACTCATTTGACAGACACCCCCTCCCCTTGCCTTTCAATCAGACAATGCATAAAACAGAATTCAGGAAAAATCCTACATTTTCCTCTCGCTAAGGAGAACATTCCTACAACTCATCTACATCCACGTAAGAAACGTGTGACTTATTTCAGTCCCTAAGCAGCACCATCATTTATCCATCACTGAAGAGTCAGTGTTATGTATGAAGATGGCATGCCTAGCTACCTTCTCACATTCCCATCTCTCTCTCATCTACGAATTCCTTTATGTCAAAGAGGGACCTTCAAAGTCAGAGAGACAGTCTGAAGGAAGTGGACTGTCAGAAAACTGCTGATGTGTCATACACTTCGGAAAAGGTGGCTTGGGCTGGATGAAAATCGGAGCTATGCTAAGAAAGAAAGGAGTAAAAAAATGAGGTATGCAAGAACACAGGGATAATACAAGTTGCAGAGCTCGTCTCACCATGCACGAGATTGAGATGGTGGGTAAGTTCAGTAACTCCCGAAAGCTGTAAGCTCCTCTGCTTCTGCTCTCTGTACCCTATCCCTGCACATCCTCCCCAACCCAAAACCTTTACCGCTTGGCTCCAAGGGCCACTCACCTCCTCTCCGCCTCATCTCCTTCACAACTCCCTGGAAACACACACTTCCCTGACGCCTTCATGAGAAGGTCAGCATGAAACTGGAAAGCATCTCTATCACTGTTATGGTGCCGCAGCAGCACGCCCCGCAGAAGTGCTTTAATAACATATATGCTACGTGTGGTACACATATAATGCGATGAGCGCAAAGGAGCACCAGGGGAGCGCTCAGTTCCCTGCTGAGCCGTGATCCTGCTGCCAGGGTGGAAGGCAACCTCCGCCTCCGCTGCTGCGCGGGTCCCAGCGCCAACTCCCCGGCCCCGAACCTTCGCGGTTCCTTCGGGGTCACCCTGTCCCCGTCACCCTCCTCCGCACCCCTCCCTCCACCCCTCACACCACGGCACCCACAGCCGGACGGGGGCAGGGACCGGAAAGCACCGTTCACCGGCC